ATCCCCTTCAATAATCCTTTTCTCGGAGTAGCCGAGAGAGAGAGAGAGAGAGAGAGAGAGAGAGAGAGAGAGAGAGAGAGAGAGAGAGAGATCATCTTCGGTGTGGCATTCGCGTTGCCAGGTTGGCCGGGGCCCACAGTCGCCGTAAACCCCGACCAACCTAATCGTCCTTGCGGGTCTTTTTTAGATTTATGTTAACACGCGTTAAGCCCGGTTAACACGACAGCACCGGCGACATCCATTCCTCCTCCAACTGATATCGCTCGAGTATTTACACTGATACGTACGCGTGTTCGCGATTGCGTGCTATTCACCCGGCCAATGTTTCACTCGAAATCCCCCAGTCCCCCCGGAAAAGACACCCCCCACCCCTCCGTATGTCGTCAGCCTGAGCGCTCGACGCTCTCTTTACGAGCCGCCGCTAGATGAAAACGGAACAGTCGCGCTCTGGAGATTCTCCCTGATGTCGCCGACCTCGCGGAATACGTTTCCCACGTAGCTACGTGGAAATTCGGTAGTCGCCTATATAGGAACCGCACGGTGGTCAGCAGTGTTGCTTTTGAAAACGACCCTTAAGCTCGGCGCAAGCATCGCAGAGGGAGTCTCGCACGATTCCACGTGTGGCGCGGAGGGTGAACCTGTCATGCATGGCGACACGTGCAAACGAGCAATGTCAGTGCTCATGCACTTCTTTCAGCGAACACGCATGGCGGGCCAGCGTATTTGCATAAGAGCGGCTTTATCGGCATTGTTACTTCGGTACTCGAGATATACAGGTGCTTTCCCCTCGAGCGCGTTGGGTCCAACCACTTCCACCCCTGCCCCCCTGCCTCCCTGCCACCCTGCCTCCGTGCACGGCGCGCGCGTACGTGACTGCCTCCCCTGGACATCTAAAAACGTAAAACTGTTAGCGGCAGCAAACTCTGTCGTCTCCTCCCTCTCTCGTCTGCCGCGAGCCCAATGGACGGCAGATGGTGCTCCTACCTTTTACTCTACTCTTAATTACGTTATCGCTTAAAAGCAATCCTCGTTACATGCGACTCCCTACTATCTGTCAATGTTATTTTTTCAAACGGTGCTTTTACGTAGTTGCTGTATTTCGAAAGCAGCAAACTCTTGCCACCTTTATCGTGAAGCGCGTAGCTATAGATAGACACGTGGATATAATTCAGGAACGCGTTCACCCGTTTCGCGAATATCTCGTTGCTAAGAATAAGATCCTGAATGCATTAGGAATACGGCAGGCAAGGTGTAATCCTATTTTCGGGGATTCGCGTTAATGGTTAATGGGAGGCAAAGTGGTCAGCAACCGGAACAAGGTCTAAGTCCGTCTTAAATCCTTACGGAGGGAACCCTCGTAGGCGGCGCCAAAGATTATAATCCCACTGGGATAACTATTGGCTTCCTCCCGCCTTACAACTCGATTCAAAGTCAAATTCGTCCTGGGTATTACTGGGGGGTCAAGGGGGGGCGTTTGGATTTTTGACCGACGCAGCGTTCCTGGAATCAGCTCCGACCGTAGGACCAAATCTAAGATCTTGTAAGGTTTGATCGTGCTGGCAATTGAATTTCGGGCAAATAGTAAATGCCCGGAGGGAAGGACGGTCTTGGCGGTAGACTTAATCATTATTCAACTATAATATTCAAGGGTAGAAACAATAATATCCTCGTCGACTGGGTCCCCATCTTGCGTGGCCTATCCTAGCCAAATACTGTAACATTAGGATTAGCCTGGATTAGGATTTAAGATTTATGAAATTTCCGTAGGGCGGCATAAGAGAGCAGAGAGGGGCTGGCAAGGTTGTAGCGATTAGAAATACACAGTCGGAACTTTTTGACACGGCAATAATTCCGCGAGGCGGATCCCCGCGCGAAATAATAATTGGCAAAGGGCCCCGAACGCGCGGAGAGACGGCTTCGCGATGCAAATAAGCGAAGCGCGAGGCGACCCTCCCTGCTGTAAATTATAAAATAATCCCCCGGTTAATTCCTATCCGCGGTTTATTGCCGTACTTAATCCATCAGTTAAATTAAATTCATAAATACCGGCCAATTCGTGGGACCGAGAGAACCGAGAGGGACGGCTGCAGTCACGTACAGCTCGAGTCATCCACTCTCCACGTGAGACGATCGCACGCGTGCAAATAAATATATTCCGTGGGAAATAATTTTATTCGCAAAAATATCATCCTCCCATCGATATCCTATCCCGAGGAGATTTTGATAAAACAGTCACAGCCTCGCTCGACTCTCGCACATTTATTACACGAACACGAAAACTACATTATACTATTCAAATGATTGTCGGCTGAACCTGAGGAGGGAAGTTGACATTGTTGTTTCTGAGGGTGGCCCGGGGCCGTGCGAATATCTTAGCGTGTATATGCTAGATGCCCGCCGGGTGGCTACGTTATACGTTATACGTTATACGTTATACGTTATACGTTATAGGAGAGAGAACGTGTTCCACCGTACTAATCAATAACCATGAATCGCTTGGGTACAGTGCCATGCTGCCATGCACGATACGTCTACTAGGATAGAGCTACGTTGCTGCACCGTCACTGCCATCGGGAGAGTCCTCTCCTCTCCCACTCTCCCGGAGTTCCTCTCTCCCTTCGGCTCCTTCGGGATAAGAGCCGAGAGGGACTTTAACGGCAGTCACGGCTTCATAATTCAACGGGAACGTCAACGGCGGCCTCGTAGCCTCGTAGCCTCGTAGCCTCCTAGCCGGCTCCTAATTGAAATAAGAATGATGCTCGAGTTTGGAAAGAACCTGAGGCCCGGCGGGTGCCGTAACGGTGCATCCGTTAAAAATTACTCAAACCCACTTCGCCATTACGCGTTAGGTCTTATGTCTACGAGGACGATATTAAGCCTTTAAATTTTAATGAGCGACACTCCGCAAAACGGCCTAATACCAATGAGCTCTCTGGATTGCATAATTCATTTGGCAGATTGGGACGGTTCTTCCGGCTGTGGAATTTTGTGATACTTGGGGACGACGGGGGTGGTCGGTTGATAAATAGGTGGTTGAACCAAAGTAAAATTCGATATTGGTAAGGGATGGGGGAGGATTATTAAAAACGTCCCGCGGGGAAAGGAAGGATAACTCGGAGGATAGGAGAAAGTGAGCGGAAACCCCTACGAAATTGGGAATAACTTGATATTCTCATTCAGGATGAAAGTTTCTACTCTGGTTAGCATTGAAATTGAATCGTCCTGGCGGGCAGTCGCGAAGAGTTAGCGTCGTTAATGGCCTCGCAAACGGTCTGAAATTGGCAGCAGACGCCGTAATGGGATAATTCCGCGAGCTGCTCGTATTCGATCCATGAATTCTCGATTATTTCCGCGCCTCGTAAACTCTTGAGGAGGAGGAGGAAGAAGGAGAGATTCTGTTTCCGTCCTTTTGGCAGGATTCCTCTTTTGCCTTTCTCTCTCTCTCTCTCTCTCTCTCTCTCTCCCGCAGGTACTAATTATTAAGCATGATCTTCCTTTTATCGACTCGCTAGGCTGATCTCTGCGTTACGAGCTCACTGGCTCATTGGGCACGAATGTAATTCGAGAATCCCGCAGGTACTAATTATTAAGATTCTGTTTCCGTCCTTTTGGCAGGATTCCTCTTTTGCCTTTCTCTCTCTCTCTCTCTCTCTCTCTCTCTCCCGCAGGTACTAATTATTAAGCATGATCTTCCTTTTATCGACTCGCTAGGCTGATCTCTGCGTTACGAGCTCACTGGCTCATTGGGCACGAATGTAATTCGAGAACGCGTCGAGGGTCGCGCCGACTTTTCTCCCTGCCCTCCTGCCCTCCTGCCCTCCTAGCGAATTAGCCCCCTTGATTTAGAGGGCAGAAACGTTTTATCGGGTTACCGGCCCAGGAGTCCGTGCATCTACCGATGAAGGAAGGAAGAAAAGAAAATAAATGTGGATTCGGCTGAACTGACAAGGGGGGACGTTAATGTTGGAGAGATCTCAAGGTGCAATTAGTATAAAGAGACATGAGAGAGGAAAAAGAAGAATAATCCGTGACGGGAAGACGATATCGTCAAGCCATTGTCGCAGATCCCGAAGGAGAAGAAGGAGAAGAAGAAGAAGAAGAGTAAGGATGAATCTCATGGCGTCTCAAGTTCCGAAGGTTCTAACGACCCTCTGCCGAGATTCGAAATGGCTAATTTGCTCTGGTGGCTCCCAGGGGATGTTCTGGGTCCTGCTGGACTGTGTCTAACTGTATATCTATATGTATATGCATACATAAGCACAAGAATATCGGTAGGACAGGGAGTGGAACAAGAGGATAGACGGAATATGGAGGGTGAACTTCTGGAGGCTGCTGGTCCACAGGGGGTGGAGGAGAGTTACGTTGGAAGGGATGGCAACGGGATCTCCATGTCTTAATATAATTCTATTAGAGGTAACTATGCGCGCTCTGGTCTGCCCATCGCCGTTGGATTTAATCACGGAGCCAGCGAACCGTGCGATATTCTCATCCCACTTCAGCCTCCCAGTCCTCCCAATCCTATCTCTACCTTCAGGACTAGTTCGGCCGGGTAGCGTCCTCATCCGTACTATCTCCACCTCGAGAAACTCCTCCAGCACCACGAGAGTGCTCTCACTGCCAAATTAACCTGACCTCGACGAGAGCAGTAACTGCCCTTCAGTCCTCTAACGTTATGGACTCGGCCCGAGGAGGTGTAGGATGAATAGTGCAGAAGCCCAGGATGCCGTCCTAGGGGCCACATACTTTGCCAGGAGTTCCTCGGGTAATTGTGGCAGGAAGTGGTCTCGAGGTGAATTTGCAATTGACGTGGCCGCCGTCTGCAATACATAGGATCTGCAACTCCTATGGGTTTCCCTCGGGAAAGGGTCTCCACTCTCCTTCCTTTCCCTGTCCTTTACGCACACACCTACACCCCGAGGATGAGGCGCCAAGGACAAAGTCCCAGATAACTTTGATTAGCAACGAGAATAAAGTTTCGGTACTCTCTTGTGTGTTCACAGCGGAGCTCAAGATGGACGTCCTGCGCGAGAGGGAAGTCAAGGATAGTCTGGAGCGTCAATTACAGGACGAGCAGAAGATGCGAGGTGAGTTCTCCACGCTGCATTCTCATGGTGCTTACCCTCTGATATATTGGACCCAGCGCTGTATCGAAGACACGCGCGTCCGCCGCCACGTCAATTCGCAATGTAATAATCGGCAGGCGTATATCGAATGTCTCGAACGGGTTTCGAACGGGTTTCGAGCAGGTTTTCAGCCGGGGGTTAACTCGCCAATAAATCAAGAAGCCGTAGAGACACCGCGCTGTAAAGTCTTGCCCGGAGGTTTCTGTATCCTATTATTCCACATTGGGGGTCTCCTTGACCCACCTCCAGGATCCTCCATCCGCCAGCATCCCGACCGTCGCCGCATCTTCACCGAGTAATGATGGGCAGGAGGGGGGTGTCGGAGAGAGGTGGCAAAGGGCGTGATCGCTCAGCCAACTTTGTATCAGATGTCACTTCGTAATAGAATAGTTGTCTCTGCGCGATGTTTATGGCCGCGTCCCTCTTCATTGGATCGTAGATACGGGACTGGACCCTTCCTCACCCCCGGGCGCTTCGGCGCTTCCCTTCTTCCTCCTTCCGAACTGTTCGCTGCACTCGGGGCGGCTGACGTCACTCAGGGACTGGAGGTCCCTTTCGACGGTGGCGACAGGGCACCGATTTAATTTCGACCGGAGTTTAAAGGGCAGATCCACCCCCTGTCGCGTGCCCCTGCGAATATACGGAGTCCCGTCATCTCGACATCAAATATCGACTCGCGGACATTACGGATTCAACCCGGGCACAATATAGCCAGTAAAATATGGACGTTGACAATACGTGTCAGATAAGTTGGGCTCCCGCGCACCTACACCTACCCCTACCCCTAACAACGCCCTCCCTCCCTGCCTGCTTCCTCCGTTGCCTGTCTGCTTGCTTCGCCTGCCGACTACCTGACTGACTGGCTGCCTTCCTTACTAACCCTAGGCGACCGACAGACCGGCGGACGGACGGTCTGCGAGATTGATGACGATGCTTTTTTCCAACTATCTTCCATTTTTCAACCCCTCGCGGCCAACGATCGAGCGATCTTCTTCTTCTTCTTCTTCTGCGCATTTCCCTACTTCGCCTCTTATCCGGCAGTTTTCGACGAGGATCTTCGACTCCAGGAGGACACTGAAGAATATCGCAAAATTGTATTTAAGATGTGACGTTGCTCTGACGAGGGGACAATGAGTGCTTTATAAATATGTAAAGTCGAAGAGGTGCGCGGGGCATCGCAGGGCTTTACTTTCCTTTTCTATTTTTATATTTATTTTTTAAAAGCACCCCGGTTCCTATACTGTAATCCTATGAAAAGTTCACCCTGACAATATCGCGTCCAATGTACTCTGGCTGGAGATTTAATTCAGCCGTCGACGTCCCGAATCAGCCTCGGACTTTTATCGTGAGAAAACGTCGCGTTTCGTCGATTCGACGGAACCGAAGGAATCGAAGGAAAAGGCAAGGCCCCAGCCCTGTCGGTAACGCGAGACTGGGACAACACGAGTCCATTAGTCAACCAGCTCCGTGTCAATACATGAATATGACAGGCAGTCACCAAACTCACCCCTCGACCCCCGCGCAGCCCTGAGCCAGCTAAACCAAACCACCCTGTCCTACCATATCGCGCAAATATAGGAAATAGTCTCCCGACCGAGACTATCCCCTGTTTTATCTCTCCCCTAACCCCCCTCCTGGCCCTCCTTCACTCTTTCCTCGATATCATATACCCAATACCAAGAAAACAGATACCCTGTCCCAACAGTCATAGACTGACATATCGAACGGATCGATGTCCTCGGGAGTTCTTATCATTGTCACCACTTTATGTTTGGTATCGACTGAACGTATCTTACAATTAGATTATTCCCATAATAAATCCCTGAAGAGCCTTAATGTACCGTCGCGAAGTAGAAACGAAGAATCGTACTTGGCACCGCGTGAATTCCATAGAAAACGACGTGGGTTTTTGTCTCTTTCGTTTTCTCTTCCTCGGTCAGAGAAAATCGTTCCGAGCGAAATGGTCGCGTAAGGCGATATGTAATTTGTGCTTCTCGCGACTCGGCTCGCACGAGTCTCGATGATTGATGACGGAGTCCCGCACGGATATTTACGCACACTCTTCAAAATACCTCCTCTCATTCGACTAATGACTGTCTTGTAAGAGACACCGTGTCAGCCATTCCCTTGGCTCCGTCACCGAACCCATCGCTGTCCTTGTCCTCCTCCTCGTCGTCCTCGTCGTCCTCGTCGTTCTCGTCGTAGTATCATCCCCAGCCCCAAGGAGCTCCACGAACTAACGACATACTAACAAGGGCGTTTCCTTCGCTCGACTTTTCTCATGCCGAACAACCGGGCTCCACATTCTTTTAATAATCTTAACGCGATGAGCAAACGCGAAACCTCCAAGTAATAACCGGGAGAGCTTCCCGACGTCTGACGTCTATCAGCACTTCCTGCCAGCTGCGCCATTTCCCTCTTCCAAATACACTCTAGCCATCCCTTAGGAGTTTTACGTGAAATTACGACTGCAGTGAAATGTCACTGATATCGAGTTCAAAGAGAATTGAGATGTCACGTGTAACCGTTCCTTATCGTTTCTTTATCCAAGCCAGCCCTTACGGGATTTAACCTTTAACGATGCCGGACGGGTTAGTTACTTGAAAGTCGAAAAGGGATGCTCGTACAACTGACGTTCTTATACGCGCATTGCATCAGGGGTCAGAGGTCAGGATACGATATATTAGCCTATTTAGCGTACTGCTTGGCATTTCGCTGGAGGATAAAGGTCAAAGGCCCCCACGGAGTAGCTTGTATTATCTTAGGAGGGTTTTGAGGGTAGTTGGCTTCCTCGTAGATACGTTTGGTATAAGGGTGGAAATAGGAAGTGGTTCGCGTCTTGCGTAGAACAATAAGATGACCTTTTACCATGCTAATAAATTATTGACAGGGGTGCTTGCTCTGCCACTTTGTGAAACACGTGCTTCGGTACTGCCACGTAACTTTTTGTGTAAATTTTAGGCAGAATTTTATGAAAACATATTGACCGTGAGAAATTTATAAATTATCCTCGAAATCTCATCACAGCCCATATTTACCGTACCGAGGCCCAATGTCCTGTTACGTTATGTTACGTATGAGTATTTCATAAGAAAAGTAAACAAAGCAAGGAGGAACCAGACAATTTTTATCTGGGTCAGAAACGGTTGGGAAACCGTTTCGGTTCGGAGGGCGTCGATGGTATTTTTCACTCGCACCGGACACGCACCGATAATATTAATATTATAAGTAAAGTAATGACGCGTATGTATCTACAAGGGGAAGTAAGACACGACGCGTAACGCACAGTAGGATAATAAATATTGAAACGACGCTTCTGGATACGATCCGACGCCGGATACTCTGGCTGCTTCGTGTCAACTCGAAGCGAAAACTTTAGTAAAAACCTGTCCGGTAGAGTAAACCGTAACCCGTAGATATTACGGAAGCTTGGGAACCCGGCGGCAGCTGCCTTCGAGCTCGTCTTCGCTTTGCGAACGGAGGCGTCGCGGCGGTCTGTAATTATGGTTAAACCGTGCATCGCGTAAGACAAGTGGAAGACCATCCGATTTCAACCGGTATCAGGAATTTGCGGTTTCGGGGCTGGTGAACTTTGCTCCCGAGGTCCTTCATATTTGTTCCGGCTTGATTAGCTTCCTCTTTACTACGTGCTCTCTATTTACTGTCTATGGTGGCCATCAGCACCGTGGCTCGTTCCCACATGGCGCACCATGTGCTTAATGCGCGTTACGCTTTCCAGCGAAGGCGTTAACGCGACACGGTGTCGCGCTTCGGGCTTGTTCGTTAGGGTGGGTACGCATGTGCGTCTGTGCGTCTGTGTAACCGGAAATTGTCGTTATTATCGTTCGATACCTTAGCCCGTGATCGATCGAGCTAATCGACGTCTGTCCTTGCATCGATCCGTTCGTCGGTTCTTTACCTTTGCTTTCTTTCTTCGCTTTCTCTGGCGCCCAGTCTGGCGGATGGGGATGATTTTCTGTTTGGAGATTCTCGCCGACAAACGGAATTGAAACTGCACAATCAAGCAGGCGAGATTTATACGCGTGTCTCCCCCTCGAATTAGCTGAGCCGTAATGCCAGGATCGGGTGTCGGTGTAATTGGGACCCCCGGGAGTCGCCTGCGTTTCGACGCTACCCTCTTCCCGGAGCGCTCCCTTCCCTTGGATCATAATGCCAGGAACAACGCAGCAGGTTCAAAATCCCTTTGCTCGGTGCCGATCGACTTCGTTCGGGTCGCACGGGCGAGTGTCAAAAAGAAATTGCGCGGCAAGGAAGAGGCTTGAGAGGTAGGAGTGGATAGAGAATCGATAAAAGAATCTGCCCAGGTAGAGGACAAACGAGCCCCGCCCGGCGACCTCGACACCTTTGACGACTACGCTCTCTCTCTTTCGCTTCCTATTTTTGCGACACACGGACCGTCCACCCTCCACACATCCTACGGCAGCCCGAACTCCATACGGGTCCCCATAGGCGATACAGAGAGGTTAGTGTTTTCGTGTGGGAACGTCGAGAACGGCCAGCAGAGCCGGCAGGTTCTTTTCATCTCAAAGCCGTTTCCCTCCACTTGCTCTCTATATTCCTCAATTTCCAATGAGTCGGAATACGACATGAAACGCTAAACTGGGACAAAGGGGCGAGTCGCGAGTGCCCAGCGAGTTCCCAGCGAGTTCCCAGCTCGCGTTACTTCGGCATCGCGGACATCCGAGAGGGCTCGGAGCTTCCTAATGTTTATCCCGGGCTACGGTGTGACTTTGGTTGGCACCCTCGCGCATATCCGGCAGGGCTGCCAGGACGGAGAGGAGAAGCTCCCGAGTGCCCGAAGATTCAATGAATCAGAATACGACACATAAACGTTAACGTTTACAAAGCGTCAGCAGCTACAAAGGGTTTCCTTCCTTGCGCGGATCTACGTACGGCCCTCGGAGTGCAGGGGTCTTCGCAGCACTCTCCCCGGGCGCACC